GGTCAGATCTAAGTATAATAATACTAAAGTATGTTTAACTAACGTCGTTAATTAAAAGTAAGTCTTTCATATTGATCAGCAGAAAGAAAACGACTTATTTGATGAAGATTCATTCTAACATAATAATAACAATTATATTTAGAAAAAACACAATGAAAGATAAAATCAAACTCTTGATCAGATGAATAATTAAATCCAATAGCATAATCTCTAATAAAATCTTTTAATTATAATCTTCTTCTTAAAATTTGTCCATATGAACGTAATAATGATAATTTAGCATTATGTAATAATGTTGTTGAATTATTATCTTGTTTTTGTTGTTCTGTTTGTTGTCGTTCATCATGATTTAATTATTGATCATTATTTAAAATTGGTAAACGATTTTCAGGTTGATTTAAATATTCTCTTTGATATTCATCTCTACAAGGCATATATGTTAATAATTTTTGTTGTTTACTATCAATTAACATAGGTGGATAAATTAAATATTTTAATTGAATATTATTTCCATTAATATGATTTTCACCATGTAATTGTTTATTATTTTTAAATGATTGAAAAATAAATATAATATGACTTGTTTGACGTGATAAATAAATATCTTCAAAATGATTTTGACAATCATTTGGATTTTATAACATTTTTAAAGCAATATCATTTCAATTTCCTAATCCACATGATTCAATCATTTCAATTAAATTTATTTCATCATTTGATAAAAATTCACTTATACAATTATCATCCAATGGAATATCATTTAACTTTTTTAAACAAAAATGTTTTTTTCTTTTGTAAAATTCAATAAAATTTACCTTATACGTTGGTTATGGATGATGTTTAGAGTGTTCATGTAATTGATTTACATTTACTGAACATTTAAAAGAAATATTTATTTGACTAGATTGATTATATTTTAAACAATATATTATTAATGATGATGGACGAATCAGAGATGAGCACAGGACGACTTTTTCTATCCTGTCCTGTCCTGTCCTGCAATCAACCTCGTCCTGGTGAGCGGCAGGACAGAACGAAAAATAATTTTCTCCTCCTGCCCTGTCCTGTCCTGCGGTCAGCCTCGTCCTGTTGAGCGGCAGGACAGAACGAAAAATGACTTGCCATCCTGTCCTGTGCGGCAGGACAGGACAGGACACTAAGCAGGACAAACACAACATCTTTAATTTTCGATTAAGTGAAGCGTATACTAAACGTTTCAGCCATCTTATAACCAATCTATTTTATTATTTATTCAAGCATCACAATATCATTCTTGAAGAAAACGTAACTCAATAAATACAAACAAATAAACATAATAAATTACTTTCCAATAACACACATAGAAAAAAATACAGATAGAACAAAATACAAAAGTACCATATCAGAGATGAGCGAGTCAGCAAAAAAGTCGCACCGTCACCGCCCCGTCCCGCACCGCCGATAAAGTTCCGCACCGCCACCGCCCCGCCTGTTTAGCATTGAAACCGCCACCGCCCCGCCCCGCCCCGTCAAAAATATGTTTTAAAAAACTATTTATTGACAAATTTTTCATTAAATTTTCATAATGGCTATTTCATTTCATGAGATGAAGAGGCATATTTTAAATGCATAAACATCGTTCCGAAATAGAAAAAAATAAATATATGAAAATGAAAGGCAATTATAATACAGTCACTCATTTTGTGGAACTCACGTATATTTTCGAATAAAATAGTGATTGTAAGTTTTAAGTTCGAGGTTTGGCGGCTCTCTCCCTTCCCCCACTCCATTACAGACACTCCACTCAGGGTTGCCAGATCTTCCGATACGGCAGGAAAAATTGCGATTTTTTAAAAGTTTCTCCAACGACTTTCCGACGCTCCGATTTTTCCGATTTTAACATATTTTTCCGATCGCCTTCAGATTTCCTAATTTTTCTCCGGTTTTCGAAGTCTTATTTGGGAATTCAAGTTCTTAGGACATTCTAGAATAGTTTAACCATGACACGACACCACACATATATAGCGATCTATTTCACCATAGTTATCGGGTAGTGAAGCGTCATGAACTCAACAAACCACACTGCAGTGATTTGAAAGCATATCCTCCAATAAAACTATGATGTTTTACAGACAATTAAGATCCAGCTTTCTATCACGATGAACTAACTTTCTCTGTTCGTTTACTATAGTGTTAATTAAGGATATTTTCGTTTCTGAGCTTTTTTTGTTTCATCACAGATATCATAAAACTAATCATAATCGTATGGGTACTAATTTAGCTGTTGCAGAATTGAAAATCGGAATGAGTTCTGTTTATACTTGTGGACATTTTTATGAATATCTGTTACCTCAACCTGATATTTTGAAGAGTATTCGAGCTAATAAAAAAGTATGAACAAAAACGAACATTATACAGAATAAGTCTTAGTTTTGTTTTGCATAAGTTTTGTGAAATGCATGTGTGTGTATGAATTTACAATACTGATTCTATTGTTTCGTCAAGTTGGTTATAGCATTTTTCATAAAAATAATGTAATCCTGTTCAAATTACTTATGTAGATTTCTCAATCATGAATAAATTGTGTAATCGATATTTTCTTTAATTCTTTATGAAATATCATTTCTGATATTGCTTCGAAAAGATGAACAGAAGCAAGATAAAGGATATTGAAGCTATCGAAAATATATAGACTAGTTATTTAAGCATGGAAAAATACTTTCTGATTTTCTTCCGATTTCGAGAACAAAAATTCCGACTTTCCCAATTTTTAGAAAAATTTTTCTGATTTTTTAATTTTCGATCTGGTAACCCTGACCCCACCATTACAGACCTCAGCAGCGCATAAAAGGCTCTAGTTTTTATATAATATATCAATGATTTCATACGTATTCGGAAAAAAGGTATTTTACAATTTAAAAATAAGGCATCAGGACAAAAAATTAAAAAAATATATGTGAGTTCCACATTTTAGCTCCTCTCGAGCTGCGCTAACAAGTCTTTTTTTACTGATTAGTTTTGTGAAAAGATTTTAAAATTTTAAAAAGATGTCTCTAAAGGTCTGAGTATATTTAAAAAATCAAGGTTAAACAAAGGCGGGGAAACCGCGAAATTCCGTCATGCACCGTCACCGCCCCGCCCCGTCAAGTTCTAGCACCTCCCCGCCGGCGGGGCGGGGCGGGACGGGGCGGTTTTACACCGCGGCTCGCTCATCTCTGATACAAAATACTGTTCCAATTCGTTCAGCAGAATGTTTCATGGAACATGATACATTAGGTGCGTTACTTGATAAATATTTCAATGAAAGGATTTAAGTGGCACAAAGAAAATCTTATGTAGATATCCCAATAGTATAACTTGAATAGTGTGAACGTAAATATTAACAATGGACTAAACAAGCAAATATTCTTCGTCGAATAGATCTCAACAAAATTTATCTATCGATGTTGTAACTAGTTCAAAACCGTTAATTGAGATTTGATATTAAGAAAATGAAACAAACTTTAAGAAAAAGAAAACTAAAAAAACAATTCCATAGAACATTAAAAATTGATCTAACTAAAAAACGCTGAAAAGATAATTGAGACTTATCCGTTTCATATCATGAGATACTTTTTCTACTCCATATGAAAACAACTTTCAAACGGAATAAAACCAGCGGTCACAATAATGACCGTTTCCTTTGGAACGTAAACAATTATTAGAACGGAAATTGTTTTTCACAGTTTTGGAGTCGTTCGTCCACTCATCATGAGATCATCGACATATAGTGACATCTTTCAAATATTATTTTCCATTAGTTCCTAAGAATAAATGAATGCCATACAAGTAAATAAATACTGAATAAATGAACCTCTTTCAATTTCAAACATGACAATTACTAGTATAGAATAACATAATAATACAAGTTGCTTGTTTTTCTGTTTTCAAAAATGGATAATAATACATTAACATCAACAACAGATATAGATTCATTTGTTGATAGTCAACCGATGAATGATGCAGAATTAACAAAATTTCATGAATCAATACTACAAATGTTTCGTTCAGAGAAAATTGGACCAAAAATGCATTTGATATTGTACTTATTGATTATTTACCTGCTATATTTGAAGCAACAAGGTTTGCTAATGATCATATGAAAAAATGTTAAACAAGAGCGTCATGAATTATTATCATCAAGTCTTCTTTCAAATGAGTTTATTTGTGATTCATTATCTATTGATACAACAAATTTATCAATAATATCAAGTATGTTAGAAAAATATTATATTTATTTCTACCAATAAAAGTTTTTCTTCAATTTATGCTGATAAATATTAAAAAAATATCCTTTCACATTGAATACTAGAAACATTTGTAGAATTTTATGAGTTGTTGAAAATCCTTTTTTTTTCCTGCGTATCACTTAAAGCTTCTCGAAAAAAAAGAACTGAGCAATTATTTTCTTCAGAATTCAATTATTTATTAAAAAATAAGTTATTCTACGTTACATAGAATAATGGTTTTAACCACTTATAATTACTCTTGCTAATTAGCTTATTGCAAAAACCTATTTTATATATATAATGCTGTTGAAAATTGAATATAAAAAATCAAGAGATGATTTTGTTTACCTGAAATCTTAACAAAGGTTCAATACATTGAAGTTAGTATCTTGAATCGAAGTTATATCGCTAAACAAAAGATTTTTCAGTAAACCAACAACGATTTTAAGAGGTCTAAATGTTATACTGACTCCAGTCTTCTCAGATTTTCGACATTATCTCTTATGTGCAAAACGAGAAAAAAAAATCATATTATGCATATTAGGTTAGGATAAACAATCATGGAGAGCATAGAGAAAGGCAATGAACTAATTATAAATATTTCAAAGAAAAACAAAGTCAATATGAGACAACAGCAATAGTGCTAGATGTTGTGTCTTGTGATATTTGTGTTAATAGCTAACAAAGAATTATAAGTTGCAAAAAAGAAATTCAAAACCCTCCTATTAATGAGCAGCCTTGTCCAGTCCTAATGATATTCATTGAAAATAATTTACATAGACGTCACAATACAAAATCATAAAACATATTTGTACCATACTAATGATTTCGAAATTTTTAGAATATTCATTGTAATTTGATTTTTCATTCTATAGACGATAATGATCTTTCTTTATCAACGGATGTAAATACAACAACTCAATCTAGTCAATTATTAACTCCAACTAGTCTTATATCATCATCATCTACAATAAATCATGCTAATACACCAATACGATCACGTACAAATAGTATAACAAGTAATTCAAGTATTCTCGCGAATGCTGCTAATCTTCTTACCGATGCACCAAATGAATATTCATATCTTGATTCAACTAAAGTAAATGCATTTATAAATGAAATTAATAATAATAATAATACTAAACTTGATGATATTATTATATCACCATCAAAATTAATACGTAAACGACGTTTAAGTATTGAATATCCATTTCCATTTCTTGTTGAACAAGCTAAAAAACAACGAATGATACCAAAAAAATTACGTGAACAATTATTAAAACATAATTTATTATTACGACCACCATCACCTGAATATGAATTTTTACCATTTGATAATACAAATGATTTAACAAATAATATCAATGATTTTATTTTACCAAATTCATCAAATAATAATTTAAATGATTTAATCATATCAAATTCATCGTTAATATTAAAACGACAACGTGCAATTGATTTTCGTCATTTACAAACAAATATGAAACAAATTATATTTAAACATTTTGAAACAAATAAAAATATATTTTTTAGTGAAGTTTATTCAACTATACATCAAGATGATAATCAACAAATATCATCATCTGATATTGGAATTTGTTTTGCTGCTTTACTTAATAATTCTGTACGATATCAATTTATACTTGAATCAAACGAAATACAAGATGATATTCATATTTCATCTCCTATATTTAATAATAATAATAATAATTAATTAGAAATAGTTTTTTTTTTAGTAATTATCTTTTTTTTTGTCAATTGTATATAGTTCTATGTATATAAATTTAAATAAAATGAAGAATTCTTTCATTTTTCTATATTTATTTAATGTATCTTGTTTTCTTGAATAAGATTTTCATACAACTAAACCACAAATATTATCAAGTTTGAATTGAAAAATACTCTATCGAAGATAAACTTCTTTTGAATAGTTTTTATTTTTTTTCATATAAAATAATAAATTTATGATTATTTATGTATAGTAACTGGCAAGAATAATCGTTCCAGACGTCTCGACCATTATAAGTACTGAAGGTTTGAAAATTTGTACATACATACTTCACCTAGAATGTAGGTTGTTGATATTGCGGCGCTTTTATTGCTTGATTACAAGGAAAATGACAATGGATGGCACTTTACTTTTCTTTTTCCTCCATGCATTATAAGTTTAAAAAGTTTGTCTACAAAATTTTTAATTCGAGAGCAAAGCCAGAATCAAATGATAAATCAACTGATTGAGAGGAGATTAAAAAGAAATATTCATTTGTAGATGAGTCAACTTGAAAGTTGCAAAACGCTAAAAACTTTTTTCATCCCTTAAGTACACATATTTTAAAAGTTCAAAATGAATTTCAACTAACTCATTCATTTTGACTAACATCTTCTCTATTATGTCTTACTTGTAGCAAATTATACTTGATACATTCGTAGCAATGATATTGTAAAATACCATCATCGATCTTCAGATAAATAATATGAATATTTATTGAGTCAACTAAGTTTTATTTCAACATATTAGTATCTATATCAAATATGAAAATGGAAATTTAATTTTTTGAATAAGATATCACATGATGACTTCATTCATAATGTCTTTTTGTTTTACTTTGATTCGAATCAACACATATGAGTCTTTTGAGAAATTTTCTATCTTTTTATCTTTATGTGTAGTGTGTTATTATATTGTATATATACGTGATTTTATTATCGTCAAATAAAAGTTATATAGAGGAGTTAAAGATAAGAAATGAAAAAGAGAAAGAAACAGGTGTTTTTTTTTCTTTTATTATTGTTCTCTAGATTTAATAAATATGGCAAGCTCTAATATAAAGGTTAGAGAATGCGTTAATTAAAAAAAAAAAAGGCAATTTATTTTTTTTTTTGTGCATTAGCCAATTTTATATTCATATTATCGCAGTTCATGTTCATATCGGGTTCGAATTGGTAAGTCTGTTTCGAAAACAAAACACAATGTTTATTTGTTTTTTTTTCTATTAGCATTGAATTTGAAAAATATTCCTTATATAATTCATCCGGTTAATCTTCTTAAAGGGGAAACAGTATGTTATTGTTTATTTATTAAAAATAATTTGTGTTATTCGAGTTATCCTTTTTAGTCAACGGATGAACATAAAAAGCTCAATCCAAAATGTGAAGTTCCAGTAAGTAAATAGAGTCATTTTTTTCAAAGTGTATCGTAAGAAAAAAATCTTTTGAATTAATCTACAAATTAATACAATCTTTACCGTTTAGGTACTTATTATTGGTGGAAAAACATTTCTACAATCAGTATGTCGACCTAAGTAAAACTGCATTAGTGTTTCTATGTTTGTTTTTGTTTTTATTCAGCTTCCTATAATTGAATATATTGATGAAACACATCAAGTTAAACCTCGACTTTTACCGGAAGATCCTTATCAACGTTACCAGGTTATACAGAATGAAATTACAAGAGAAATAAAATCAATTTTCTAATTTGATCATTTAAATTTTTCTTTGATTTAGGCTCGTTTGATTAGTGAAATCATTGCATCTGGTATTCAGGTAATTTTTATTTCCTTTTTTTTTTTTATTTTGTTTATTCACTCTATCGGTTATTTCTCATTTTGCTTTTTTAATATAAAGCCGTTGCAAAATTTAACTGTTCTTAAACGTGTTGGTGACGAAAAAAAAGGTGAATGGGCACATCATTTTATTAAAGTAGGACTCGATGGTAAATGAATTAACTAATTTATATTCAACTAGAATTTTACATATAATTTAACTTTTATTTAGCGGTAGAAAAAGCTCTTGAAGAATCAGCAGGGCAATATTGCGTAGGTGATCAAATTTCAATAGCTGATTGTTGTCTTGTACCTCAAATTTATAATGCACGACGGTATATAATTATATATATTCATTTCTTATTTATCTACTTATCTTTATAACTATTTTATATTTAGATTTAAAGTTGATTTAACTCCATATCCTATTATGACAGCTATTGAAGAAAGATTAAATGAACTTCCTGCATTCAAAGAAGCACATCCAAATCGTCAATCTGATTGTCCTGAAGAAGAAAAACTTAAATCTTAATTTAACATTCTTCTATTGAACGAAAATATCTTTTTTTTTTCTTAATTCTTTGATTATTGTCCATAATTTTAAGAAAGCACATTAAAAATAAAGCTGATCGTAATCGTGTAGTATTTGAAAAAAAAAGAAACATATGTATATTTCCATCATAGAAATCTGTTTATTCATCAATATCTTAATCAGTATGGTATCAAATATATTTTTGAAAAACAAAGTTCTAAAACAATACAATACATAACAGAGATGGAATCAGTTCAACTCGAATTTTCTAAAAAAATCTAGATCAGTTGAGTTCGGTTCCAAAAAACATGAATCGATTCTATTTCTAAGAATATAACGCAAGAACTTGATAAAAGTAAGGACAATAATGGTGACCATTAGATGTTTATTAACTATCTTATTAAAAGAATATGCGTAGAAAATGGACGAACAATGGCTGTGATTCTTTCTCAATAAAGATTTATCTTATTGAGTATCATTCGAAAAATATATGATATCACCAACGATTTAATCAGATTTTTAAATTGAAAAATACAAATTAAAGATAATTTAAGAGTGATGATTTATTCTTCGAGAATACAGCTGTTTTCGATCACAGCTGGAGTGTTCCCATATTAGTTACGTCAAAAGACCGAAAGATACTGTGCGAGATAGAAAAATGTTCGTAGAAAAACTATCAGTCGAAGTCAAAACAACTGAAGTAGCTTTTTGTAATGTAATTAAAGATTGTCTTTAACTCTGTTCTCGTATCAAAAAAAAACAAGATATTACCTAGATTTAAATGGATATGTCATGTATTTATTCATACATGGCAAGAATACAAATCTAGAATTCAAAAATAAAAATAATGTTATCTCAATGGATTAGTATTCTCGTCTTATTCTATTTCAAACACAAAACGAACTGAATATTGAATTATCATGAACTTTATACTTGAGAATTTTAACGAATAAAAATAAATCGAAATAATTGGTTTTGCTGAAGACAAATTGTTCGTATCTTATTATTAGTCAGTGATGTCACAATATTTTTAAGTACCTTATACCCAGGGGTATTTATTTTTCTTTCTATTTGTTATGTTGGTTGTCTTTTGTACTTTGAAAAGTCATATGCATCGCTTGTCTATATTCACATCATATACTAACTGATAAGATATATACACAGTACAGAAAATGAAGAAGAACAAAAAGAAAGAAGAGAGAAAAAATTATAACTTACATAAATGGACTAGTTTGAATCTTAATATTCAGATCATTGATTCATACCCTGAATAGATACATGTCTTTTCTCTTTTTTTGTTGTTGTTAGAAGTGTAATTCAATTGAAAGAAATTATAAACAATGCCAGAAACCAGTGAATGTCCACTTTCGACTAGTGAAGATGAAATGGGTAAACAAGGACGGTCAAGTAGTTCAGGTAAAAGAGAAAATATATATATTATAAAATAAAATTCTTTTTTAATTCTATAAATTATTTTCTAGCATCTGAAAATCGTGCAACAATGGTTACATATTGGAAACGTAATTCAAACCCAAATCTTCAAAGTATGATGCTTGATACAAATGCTGATAAAATTAATCAATTTGAATATCCTGAAATACTCGAATGTTTACCTGATCTTGATGGTAAACGTATACTTGAATTGGGAGCTGGTATTGGGTTTGTATTTGTAGTATAAGTAAAACAAATAGTGATCTTATTGTTTTTTTTTTTATAATTACATTTTAGACGTTTTACAAAACGATTTGCTCAATTAGCTAAATCTGTTGTTGCTGTTGATTTTATGGAAAGTTTTTTAGAAAAAAATAGAGAAGAAAATAGTCATTATGGTACAGTGGAATTTTTACATAAAGATGCAACACAATTATCATTTGAACCAAATAGGTATTTACGATAGCGAATAAGGAATAATTTATTGTTTTGTTTACTTTTTTTTTGTAGCTTTGATATTGTCTTTAGCAATTGGCTTTTCATGTATCTTTCGGATGAAGAAACTGAACAACTTTTACAAAAAAGTCTTTCATGGCTTACACCAGGCGGAACATTGTTTTTTCGTGAATCCTGCTTTCATTCTTCAGGTTTATTAAACTTTATATTCAAATTTATAGTTTCATCAAGAATAACATATCAAAGATGTTTACTATATTATGAGTATTGTTATTCGATTTGAAATAGTTCAATAATCATATATGTACACATAGAGGTGCTAGCCGCCGTTTTTTCACCGGCGCCGCCGATAAAATTTTCATCCGCCGCCGCTGAATAGAAGGTCTTGGCAAGGACTTTTCCACCGCCACCGTCGATCAAGTGAAAAATCACAGATCAAGCTTCCTCTTTTTCTAAATTATCACTTGTTGATAATAATCAGTAACATCTCAAGTTTGATCTATGTGACAATTAAAGATTGCGGAAACCAACCGAACTTTTAAAAAATAGGAATTAGTATATTTCTTCTTGGATGACATATGGTCTGAAAGCCGAGCTGATAAGCAAATATGTCTTCGTGTGATTTTGTGACGCTACCATATTTATTAGGTTCTCATTTGCCTTGTTCCTTTGTGCGCAATGGATTCATCGCTATTATTTTCTCCGTCTCGCGATTTTTGACTTATTGAGTATGCAATTTTGACTAACTGTCTAGTTTGAGTTCGAATATAAATGTAACTAACATTGCAATTCGAATTTCAATCGACATTTTCCTGCCAGTTTAGAAAACAAGCAAAATATTTAGTTTGAATTTGAATTTGAATTCAAATTCAAATTTTAATGTTAGTTTCACTTATGATCCAATTCGAGCTGCCATCGAGGTATCACATATTATCTTTATTTTACTTGGAAAAAGTAAAGTAAAGTAGAGTAAAATAAAATACTATAGTTTGGATGTAGCAAATAAAGTGGGATAAAGTTAACCGACCAATAGTTTTCATTGTATTCATAAAAAATCGACATTTTTCGTCTTTACTTATTTTTTTTTCACACTAATTTTAAGACGAAACGATACTGAATAAACTTTGATACGTTCTAAGATTACTTATACATGATCCTGAACTAAGACATTGCCAAAAAAATTAAAACATACAACTTCATGTTTTTCACTTTCCTTTCCTTTACCAGGTAAAGTAAAGTTCTAATACTTTACTTTATTTGGTAAAGTAAAGATAAAGTGCCAGTTCCAAGCTATCATGCTTAAATTTAATTTGTATTTTAGATGAATAGTCACACTATTGCTATTTTGGCTTATATGATGAGTTATTGTTGTGTGATTTGAAGTTATTGTATGATGGGACAGTGTAAATTTTTTGAATTAATGAAAATAAAGTTACATCTAGTGGAAAAATGTTTGCATAAAAAGACATGAGTGTGCTAAGAGAAAAAAGCGTTATAATTCTATGAGAACAGAACGTCTAATATTTATCTTAATGGTAGGGACCTACGAAAGATCCTGTAAACTAACATAGGAAAAATTTTGTCGTTGTCGCCGCCGCCGCCGCCGCCAATCAAATGATCGGCTAACAGCTCTATGTACACATTTTGTGTTATTTCTGATGTTTTTCGATTGATGACTGAGTCCCTACAGGAATCTTTGAGCTCTTTCAGGATTCAGCTTTTCATCTAGTGTAGAATCCTAGAAGTCGGCATCTCTTCGAAAATCAGGCTGGTACTCTCGGACTCCCTATAGTTCTTCTTCCATTTGAACGATGTTTAATTAAAATTGGAAGGGTATACTTATTTTCAGCTTTAGATGGAGGCTCAGCTCCCTCCTCCAGAATTTTTCTGGCTCCAGTACTATGTTTGACCTTTATTATCGAATGAATTGATATAATTCTTTTTATTTTTATAGGAAATATCAAACCTGATGAAAATCCAACATATTATCGTTCACCACGACAATATATTGATATATGTCAATCACGCTTATTAAATGGTACACCTGAACATCCACATGATCAAGTTTATGAACTTATTTTTGCTAAAGCATTGGAATCATATTATGAAATAAAAAATAATAATAATCAAGTAAAAGAGAAGAATTAAAAGAAAAAAGAAACATTTATTTATTTATTTAGGTTTGCTTTCTATTTTTAAAAACAAATTTACAAAATCTTCATGGTTATAAAACATTACAAGATTTTCTTGATCACTCTGAATATGCTCTTAAAAGTATACAAAAATATGAATCTGTACGTGGAGAAGGTTATGTTACTATTGGTGGTGCTGAATTAACAGGACAACTTATAAAACGACTTAATTTAACATCATCACAACGTTTATTAAATTTTGGTAGTGCAACTGGTGGAAGTTCATTTCAAATTTCTCAAGTTTATAATTAAAAAAAAAAAGAAATTATTTCTTTCAAAAAATTGAGTTTCTTTTTTACTCTTATAGGATTATGGTTGTGAAATTGTCGGTGTAGATATTTCAGCTAACATGATCGGCATTGGTACTAAGTAAAACAAGATGTTGGTTTGATTTTGAAAGTTATTCATATGGTTTAATTTTAGCATGGGATCGCGCTTTATCGTATAAAGGACATCGAATTCGTTTTGAAGTTGGTGATGGTACAAAAATGAGATTTGCACCATCAAAATTTGATGCTATTTATAGGTAATAAAAAGAAACTTTGATTTTTGTTTCTAGAAAACAATTCTAAATATTGAATTTTTTTAAGTCGTGATGTCATGTTTCATGTTTCGGATAAAACAGCATTACTTAATAATTTTTATACATGGCTTAAACATGGTGGTCGTTTATTAATTACTGATTTCTGTTGTGGTAATACACCATTTTCACAAGATCTTATTGATTATGCACGTTCTGGCATGTATACTATAACACCCATACAAGAATATGCTGAAGTAATACAGCAAGAAAAAAACGATGAAAATTTTTGAATTGTTTTTATTCTTTTTGTTTTTTTAAAGCTTTTTGAAAAATGTGGTTTTATTGAAGTACATGTAGAAGATCGTTCTGATTTATATCAACAATATTGTCAAAATGAAATTGAAATTGCTGAAAAAAATCGAATGAATCCGAATTCTGTAAATATTATATATTTATGTTCTATATATATAAATTATTCTTTTGTTGTTCTATTCATTTAGAAATTAACTCGTCAAGAGCGAGATGAATGTGTTCGACAATGGAAATTAAAATATTCTTTAACAAACTCAGGCCAACGTCGTTGGTGTATTTTTGAAGCAGTCAAACCATCAGTTTCATTTTATGAAGATGAGAATAATGACCAATAAAAAATTTTATTACTGTTATATGAGATCAATCTGTTTAATGCGGAAAAAAAAGACTAAAAAATAAATCAGTATGAAAGAAACATAGAAAAAGCAAATGTATTAAATTATAGAAGGTGTTTCGTCAATATGAGATTTCACTCCATTTTTTTGTTGATCTAGAATAAAAAAAAAATAAATAAATAATAATTTACAAAGAAAAAAAAAAAGCTTTTTTATTTATTTACCATCTGTCAAATGTTTTTCTCTGAGATATGTCATCATTTTTTCAATATAGGCATCAACATGACAAGCATGTCGTTTAAATTCTTCACTGAAATAATCAAAGTAAAAGAATTCAATTTCTTTAATAAAGTAAATCTTACAATGTAATATTATAATCAAATTTTATTTTTTGTGCTATATATGATATCATAAATAATGAAGTTTCACCATGAGGACCTTTTTCTGAGCCACAATGTTTATTAAAATGTGTATTTGTAAAAATATTATAATGTATATTCTGTATATAAATATAGGAAACGAGAATCAAATTATCTTGTTTTTTTTTTTATTTAAACAATAAATCAAACCTCAAGATCATGTGTATTTGTTGTATAATAATCTTTTTCTACAATTTCAAGTGTATTAAATATAAATTCAACAAACATATGATATATATGACACAAAAATACTGAATTTTCATTATTTTTTGCTTGTTCATGACGTGATAAATATTCGTCAAGAAATTTAGCTGCTTGACATGCTGTTTTAGCGAATTTAATATCATTTTTATAATGATATTTATTATAAATACGTATTAATGTATCTGAAACAAGACCGGAATAAGTTGTTGTTGGCGATGAAAGTGTTGCCATGGATGATATGTTCTTTAAAGCAAAAATGAAAACAAGCACAATAAAACTATAATTATAATAACAATTATATGTATATAATTACTTTTAATATAAATAATGGTCGTATATTCGATGTTAATATTCTCGATAGACAAAACATATTTAGTCAATTTATCTAAAAAACTGATTAATGTAGAAGCTCTAAACGAAGGAATTTCATTTCGAAAAGAGAGCTTGAAAATAATTTATTGATTAGACTTTAGTAGATCGATAATATTTATTATCAGGATCTATCGATTACAATGCTACTTGATGTACAAATTATTTATAACAAAGTTAAATCTAATCTAAGGTTAAGAAAGAAAGCTTTCACCGAGTCTTTTTGTCTGATAATAGAAACTAACAGACAATCAGAGAATTTCTAGTATGAGATTCAAAGATTAGATTGTGAAGTGATAACAATTGATTTATGTGTCTGTTATATTAAAGACTGACTATGGTTACGAAGACGTGTATTGAACACATTTTTATAGATTTAATGTGAAACTTAAAGTTATAAGTTCCATGAATCAAATTCGTTTATATATTTTTTTCCAATTGAATTATTCATCGATGTTTCGACAAATCTAAATGAAAACCAATAATTTCAAAATAAAATCTAAATATCTTATAGTTAATGCTGTGAAAGTAGTATTTATAAAGGAACAGTAATAGATGAAAGTTTATGAAACAAATAAAAATTTTTCACAAACATCAATATTTAAACAATTTGAAATTAATATTTATTGAATAACATTGTAAAATGTTTCTTGATCTATATTAATTGATTACTTGATCACATTACTCACCTTCGTTTTAATGATCCTTATTCGCATCTTATGTCTATTTATATATTTTTTAGTTTATATTTATCAGAATTCCATTAATATACAACATTTCAAATCGTCGACATATTATCACATATATTCATAACTTTTTACTATGAATTTTTTTAGGCTAGCTTCAGCAAACTGCATAATGATTGATTTTTATGTTGTAGATTTGCAGCACATGAATAGTCTGTAGTGTATGTTTGTCATAAGTAGGGCTGTACCGCTCACGCTCATGAGCGCTCATATGAGCGTGAGCGATTTTTCGTTGACGCACATGCGCACGTGAGGGGTGGTCGCTCACGCTCATATCAGCGCACATAAGCGTGAGCGGTACAGCCCTAGTCATATGAGCGTGAGCGACCACCCCTCACCTGAGCATGAGCGTAGGGCTGTACCGCTCACGCTCATGTGCGCTCATATGAGCGTGAGCAACCACTCCTCACGTGAGCGTCAGCGTCAGCGTCAGCGAAAAAACGCTCACGCTCATATGAGCGCTCATGAGCGTGAGCTGTACAGCCCTAGTCATAAGAAAGACTATCGTTGAGCATACTTTCTATGATGATGACTATCAGCTACATTATCAAAAACGAGTATATATAACAGGTTGCAGATCTTAAATAATCCCTCAGTAATATTAGAAAAACTGATTTTCGAAATTCAACGTGAAACTTTGCATAGAAACAAGCTTTGATGAAAATAATTCATCGTAAACGTATCATGTAATGCAATTTGCTCCTGTTATGAAAGACGAACATCGAATCTGAAGTTTTATGTATGTGATGTAAAAGGCTCGTTTTTATCATGGCTACGTATTGGAATAGAAATAACGAAGATATCTGAAACTTTCAAAATAAACTATTCTTGTCAATATTTCTTTTTTGTATGCAAATTTTCAAGTCGAAATTTGGAAATTAGTTTTTTTTTGGTGTTCCTGAGGGAGACCACAGTATTGTATTGAAAAATATCTTAAAAATGCAATATGTCAACAACAAGAAGCCATGAGTCCGAACACTTTTAGAGATATTCATATTCCATTATAATCTAGATGATGCATATATTTCTAACTAATCATCAGTCGAACGATATTTCTTGTAAACCAACCTACCATTACATTTGATACAAGATTTGATTTCGAAACTAGTCTCTAGCTTCTATGATGCATAACTAAGATTTCTATTATTTCTTCATTTTTACTGTAAATGGTTAATTTCAATACATTATATATTCGTTTCGCCGTGATTTATCCATATTTCAATAGTAAACTTAAAAACATCAATTTTGAACGTTATTATCGTTCCTAATCTAAAATTTCATAGAAAGAAAAAATTTTATTGAATTAAAAGATCATTAAGAATTCATATTGATATTCACACTATTTTGTTTTTATGTTATTGTTGTCTTCATTATCATTCTAAAGTAAAAGTCAAACAATAATCAGATCACCTTAAGCATGAGAACAAACAAAACACACACATACACACATAATCATCACACATATTACAAGACGACAACAAGTAATCCAAAACAAATTGCAAAAATTTAAATGCTATACAAAAAGAAAAACTAAATTTATGTGTTTGTGTTTGACAAGCAAAAAAAAGGAATCAAAAAGGGTAACACAAAAAAAAATATGTATAATGTATAAGAAAGATGTGAGAAATAGAGAGAAAAAAAAACAGATATGGTACAATAAGTAACAACATGCATGTGCACGATTTATGAGAAAGAGTGAGGAAAAAAACTGAGACCGGGCTTATTATAGCTACATTCGAACATATGTATGTTACTGATTATAGCACCGAATAGATTATAAAGCAATTTATTTGTTTTATGAAGATGGAGGTAATGGTTCTTGTTCATCATCACCTTGTTGCATTGGTGATGATCCACGTTGATTAGATCGATATTGCTGAATAGGTCTTTGTTGTTGTTGTAATGGTTGCTGTTGTTGTTGTTGTTGTTGTAATGGTTGTTGATGATGTTGTTGTTGTTGTAATGGTTGTTGATGATGTTGTTGTTGTGGTGGTTGTTGATGATGATGTATAACAACAGGAATTTGAACAGATCCAATTACATTTGTTGTACGATTTGATCGCATAGGAGATGGTTGTTCATTTTTATGAGTAAAAAATGATGGATGTCGATGAATTAAATCTCGAACAGTTTCTTCATATCGTTCAATTAATTGGTGTTTATTTATTGATACAGAATGATAATGTTGACCAACTGGTTGTTCAAGTAAACGTTGAAGAAATTCTTCAAGTAAAATTGAATGTTCATTAGCTAAATATGATTTAAATTAAGATTAGTTTTTCCTTCAAATTAATTCATTTGTTTAAATACATACGTTCAAGTTTATCGAGTAATAAACACCAAATACGTTGAATTTCTGTTATATATGCTTGATCATCTTCTGAACTAAGTTTAAGTTGCATTAAACATGGAAGAAATTGATGTATCATTATATCAAGACGATAATCAGGTGTAGTTTTAAAACGATTTAATACAACATCATTCCATTTCTATTAAATCGAAAGTATAAAAATTGATAAATTAAAATTAAAAAAATAAAATCTTACTTCAAAACATAATCGTCTTGTTTTAAATAATAGATAACTGTCCATAGCTCTCATTGGTAACATGCATTGTTTTGAAAGGCGTAAATTATATTCACAAGCAACACAAAAGTATGTTATGGCTTCATCAAATCTAAATAATTGAAAAAACTTGTGTTAGTACAGTCCTTTTGAGGCTTAAATATGGAACTCACATGTGTTCTTAAGTTTCATTATAATAACATCCATTTCAAAAAAAAAAAGATGGATAGGAACTTTTTTAATACCTCTTGGTAGAAACATGCTGGAGACTTAGGGTCTTCACATTTAAAAAGGCAAAAATGATAACGCATTGAATCGTGTACTACAAGTTTTCTTGACCTATGAGGTGATTATAATAAATTTTCAATTATCAGATCTGCATCCGAACTGCTAATGAAAGATCTGAAAAACTAGACAAGCCTCAAAGTTTAGGTTTAGTTATTCAGGAGTAACAGGTATTCTGGTCGAAACTCTCGACCAATTTTTGAAGCAATTGTTGTGAAAAAAAAAATTACATTTTCACTTTTTTTTTTATAAACTTAATGAAGAAAACTCCAAAAACATCTGAAGAGAACGTACAGTCTATGATTCGATACAATTTGATCTACTCTTTCTAAAGGCAAAAAATCACAGCGCTCTATCTTATTTCTATCAAAAGTTATTCCAAAAGTACTCACCAATCACTTTTTTTTGCAAAATGAGCATTAAAACCAAATACATCAAGTGAAAATTCTCTAGCAAACTATAGTTGTCTTTCAAGGTTAGTCGATGGCAAATAAAATCATCTCTCTTATTTATTTCTGTATTTTAAACAGATTTTTTTTGCTTATACTACTGGCGTTTTACTTTTTGTTGTCCTTGTTGCTATTCGTTCGTTCTTTTTCAATGTCATATTCAATGTTGCTTAATTTTACATTATTATTATTATGCTTCTCCTTATCATTGATTTAACTAGACAAATAAGTCTGTTGCACATATCCATTATATATATAAAGCAGCCCAATCAAAAACGAAAGCTTAAAAAACACTTATAACTATACACAGAGTGCTGTGTATACATACAATGGAAGTTTGTGCATGTGCCTGCATTTTCTTACCGCATGCGAGAACATACAAGTGTTTTATTAACGAACTATCGCATGTATATGAAAAAAAATTCTAAAATGATTAACAACCGAAGCATACGTAGCAATCATGCATGAACACATAGTAGTCAAGGTTCGAACATGTATCTTTTTATAGGCTGAATAGGTACGTGTGTACATGAATGTTAGGAACTGTGAAAAATTTTAAAATAATGAATAAGATTTATTGAATTAATATAGTTTGAATTTATTGAAGATCCATTTCATTTTACGAAAAATAACAGATTTAGGTTGAAGAAAACACTTAACTCTTGCATGAACATTACAAAATAACTGAAATTTACATATCAATGCAGAATTGGTTTGGTAATAATTGTCGTAAATACAAACTTTTTACATTAACATGCATTATTTAGTAAAGTTCTAACCATTCTGCAATTACACACAGATAACACCTTGGTTTTCCA